TAAAAAAAAAAAAAAAAAAAAGAAAGTCTTGATGAGAGAGTTCCTAAGCTCTTCAAGTGTCACTTCGTGGCAAAAGATTGTCTGGCCGTGACTTTGTGTGGAAGGACCCGCCTTTCTGACAAAAGGATGGTAACTGCTTCCTGCTTTTGCTCGGCTCTGCTAACATCCTCATTGCTGGTGGTTTCTTACTGTGTCCGTCCCTCCATCCATAGACCCCTCAGTTAATTCTTTCCAACTTAAACCAGTTTGGCACTGTCATCTATTTTCTGCTGTGATCTTGATTAATGTGAATAGCTTTGCTTTTGCATTCATCCTTGCTTATTTACTTAGAATAAATCTGGAGCTCAGTTAACTCTTTCTGTTTTTAGACTGCTGATGGTCTGTGTGCAATGGGAAGTGGACTCCCCATGATTCTAGCTTGCTTTGGAAGTCCCAGTTGCACCGTGATTTAGAACAAAGGTCAGCACTTGATGGGCTGTATGAGTTTCCTGGAGCGATCATAACAAAGTGCCACAAACTGGGTGGCATGTAAAAGCAGAAGTTTACAGAGTATCAGCAGGGCTGTGTTCTCTCCAGAGACATTCAGTACTGTCTTGCTCAGCTTCCGGTAGCATCCACATTCCTTGGCTTGCAGCATCATCAATCGCTGCCTCCCTGGTCACCTGGGATTCTTTACTCTGTCACTCTCTGTGTCTCCTCTCCTCTCTCATAAGGTCTCAGATGGGAGTAGGGCCTGTCCTCCTCCAATGTGATAGTATAAGTCATCTTCAATGATTTCTAACAAGCTCACATTTACAGGTTCTCAGGGTTAAGACCTATCTTTTGGGAGGAAACAATTACATTCCTGACAGGTCTGTGAGCTAAGTAATTAAATAAAAACTTATGTTGTTAAAAAACAACAACAAGAAAACCACATAGCAGCATATGTAACCAAAACTAGATGTGGCTTGTAAAATCCTCTCTGGTCCTTTACAGAAAGTCTGGCTACCTCTGATTGAGCCTGTGGTGCAGCATCCCAGCGGCTTATGAGGCCGCCCTCCCTCCGCTTCCTCGCTGGTGGCTGCCCTGGGTCGAGTTTCTTAATTACTGACGCTTTTGCTGAGTCTGTTTCTTCCGCTCTAGAATTCTTCTGCAAATTGTGGGTAGAGAGACAAGATTGTTACCCATTGAGGGTAGCAACAGACACGAGCTTAGCCACAGGACTTGTTCCTGCAATCCACACTCAGGGAAATTCATCAAGTTACTTGCGCTTGTGAACCACGAGTGGGCGTGATTTCCACTGTCCTTTACCTGGGCACCATTCTTGGCGCTGGGCCGCTGAGGTCGTAACTTAGCCCCCACCCTCACCAGCCTTCTAGCTGGAGAGATGGAGTGTGTACCAAAGAAGCGCCGCGTAAACTACAGGCCACAGGGGGCTTAAACTATGAGGGAGCTTCAGAAAGTTTCTGGGACAAAAGGAATTAAAAGGTTATAGAATTTTCCCATGAACTTTTTTACACACACACACACCCCTACCCTAGTATAAAACAACACCCAAACCTTGGCTCCAAGTGGGAATTTAGAACCCTGAATCCCGTCATTGTCATGTGACCGCTTCAAATGTCAGCTTGGGGTTTGAGGGTTCTTTGGGGCAGGACAGGGTCTTTGAGAGGCTTAAAGAATGACCCCTCGACCATAAAGCCAGTTAGGGAGGGGCCATTGTAAGGGGACCAGATTTTAACATTGGTAAAGCGGGACACCATTGATAAAACTTATATCCTGGCGAAAAAGCCACACGGCAGCCGAAAACCGTATACCCTAGCTTGTTGTGCATTCTTTCCAAAAATCAGGACTTTGAAAAAATGGTGCGGGATGCAGGAAAAATTGTTAAAAATCAGGACTGTCCCGCCAAAAGCGGGACGTCTGGTCACCTTACCATTGGCATGTGTGGAAGGAGCCAAGCTTTTCTCTCTAGAGCAGTGGTTCTCAACCTGTGGGGGTCAAACGACCCTTCAAAGGCGTCGCCCGATTCCTAACAGTAGAAAAATTACAGTAATGCAGTAGCAACGAAAATAATTTTATGGTTGGGGTCATCATCCCGTGAGGAACTGTATTAAAGGTCTGCGACATTAGGAAGGTTGAGAACCGCTGCTCTAAAGGGCTGAGGGGCTGTAGAGCCAAGGGACAGAAGAAACAGTAAAAAGAGAGGCCCCACGACCCTGTCCTGCAGGCCCCTGAAGGTCTCCTTCCGGGGACCATGAAGATAGTGCCCAGCACTGACTAGTGAAGCGTCCAGTACCCCCAGGAGGGCTGGCCTAGGAGTGTCACTGTGGGTGCTCTGAAGAATGTGCCAAGTCTATGGGTGTCAAGCATCTGAAGAATGTGCCAAGTCTATGGGTGTCAAACATCTGGGAACTCACTTGCCCTTCTTCGGAGCCAGGCTGGGCTGTTTGGGGTCTCCATCCTTAAAGAGAACGACGTGTTAGTTTGCTCCTCCTCTTGCCAGGTTCCTTGCCAAGGGCTTCACAGACTCCGGCTCAACGCCATCACCCGTCAGCGGAGAATGCCAGTGTGGGCCGCTTGCTGGGGGCTTGACGCGACCCAGAGGTAAGCCCCCAGCATCGCCTTTTTGTTGGAGGTGAAACCAGAGCATTATGGTTGTGTGCTGTTTTGTTTTAAACTTTATCTTTTAGAAGTTCCTACTGGAATACCGCTGGAACGGGGTGATGTCTGGGAGTCCCTTCAGACGGAGGTGGGGAGGAAGTGGGAAGCTGAAGGGCTGGAGCGGGGTGGCAGGGCATCCTTCTGTCTGCTGTGCTTCTGCGCACCGCCATTCCCTGAGGCAGGTGTCACGGGTGTGTGTGTGGGTGGGGGGGGGAGGGTGTTGCACCCAGGCACACACGCTGTGCTTTCCAGTCCGACCAAATCCAAATCCGGGGCCAGTTTCAGCTCTGCCACTCGTGTCCGTGAGCCTGTCCACACGGAGGAGCCTCATTTCCTCGTCTGTGAAGTGGGCCTCACTGCGGCTGCCGCACAGGGTGCTAAGGAAGTAACGCGTGCCAGGCACTGAACCTCGTCCCTGGCACCTGATGCAGGCCCGTAGTTCACCTTCCAACTGAAGGTCTGCACGTGGCAGCCCCTGGCTGACTGCTCTCTCTGCTGAGGGCGAAGGCATGGGGGTGGGGAGGAGGCAACCTCAGCCCTGGATTTAACCGCTCCTGGCTCCACTCCCCTTGCGGCTGACCTGGCTCTTGCGTCGCCGCAGTCTGGAGCTGCAGGCAGCAATCCAAGTCCTGGGGTATGATTTCTGTTGAAATAGCTAGTGGCCACAAAGCGCCCTTTTACTTATCTGCTTTTTAACAAGTCCCGCTGGTAGACCAGCACGACTGCCAGCCGAACGATTGGAGGTTTGAACCCGCCCAGTGGCTCAGCAGGAGAAAGACTTAGAGATCTCCCACCATGTGGACACTTACGTCCATCAAATGAAGTCCCTGAATCAAGTCAGCCTGATGGCCCCCAGTACCAATAACATTGGCATTTCAAAATCATTGTAGCTGCACAAGAAGTTGCTACGAGGAGGCCCGTTACCACCCCCCCAGGCTCCGCCCCCCAGCCCCCCTCCCCCGTCGCCCAGCTTATCGTACTGGTAGCATCTGCCACGTGACCGCAGGAGGGCAGCACAAGCAATGAAGCCACGTGGGTATGGCCCACAGAGCTGATTCCGATTTTGTGTGTGCCGCTTTTACAGGCACTTGTTTGTGTGGGTTTCATTCTGTGCAGTTGTATCCCCCCGTATGAATTCCTGTAGCCACCACCACGCGGAAGAGACGGAACTGTTCCATCGCTGCCCAGAACTGCCCCATGCAGGCCCTGATGCGTGCAGACAGAATGAGCCCTGCGTGTGTGTCAGGGCTCTAGAAAAGAAAGAAAGTGCCAAGGTTGTCAGGACGCACGCCTGCGCCTGTCACCCACGATAGAATGTCCCTTCCCCTTTAATTCTCATCTGGTCTTTGTTTAAACACCCAGTAGGACAAGTCCTCCCTTGAACTCTGTCACCCAGCTCCATCACTGTGGATATTTCTGTGAACATCTCTCTAGACTTTTCCTCCCCTCGGCTGACTTAGCTGCCCTTCCCTCTGCCTGTTCTCAGAAGACCTCTTCTGACAGAAACACGCCTGAGACTGTGGTGTGGAACTGTTCCGGAGGTGAGGCGCTCACAGCAAGTGAGATAAGTGGCCTTTTAGGCACTTGGCCTCCCCAGGGCTCTTGAGAAAGAGCAGTCTTGCTTATTCAGAGGAGACCTGCTTCTGCTTTCCACTGGGTTCTGAAACGAAATCTCCTCCCCTGGCCTGCCTCTGCTCCTTCTCAGTGTGGTGTGCTCTCCGTCTGCAGAGGCACTGTGGTTTGCATTCTCTGCCCTGCAGCTCTCCGAGAGTAGCCTGGACTCTGACTTTCCTGCTGGTAACTCCAGTCAGTCAGTCTCACCTGACATGGGTCGCCGGCTCTCCCAGTCACAAGCTCGGGGCCAGCCTTGCTTCTGAGTCCCTGGAGCCAGCCATGGGGCAGGTTCTGAGTCCCTGGAGCCAGCCATGGGGCAGCTTCTGAGTCCCTGGAGCCAGCCATGGGGCAGGTTCTGAGTCCCTGGAGCCAGCCATGGGGCAGGGTAACCATCCTCTCCAGTTCTCAGGCACGGAGAGGGGGGATGAGGCCCAGAGAGGCTCCATCTCTCTCTTGGGTCGCTGGATGGTGGGTCACAGAGCTGAGACTTGAGGCCCAAGTCTGTACATGGAACCACCTGCCCACCTGCCCCCCGCCAGCAGCAGCTGCTGTTAACTCAGAATACACTGTGTCTTCTCACAGGTGAGCCCAGGCCAGAATGGGGGACTCCAGGAACCTGTGCCCTCACCTTGACTCACTAGGGGAGGTGACCAAAGAGGATTTGCTGCACAAATCTAAGGTAAAGGGATGAGGTCACTTCCCGGGGTTGAGGATGGCAGGTTTAGGCAGCAGGAGAACTGGCTCCCGATAGTCTCAGCTCAGCCTTTTGTATAAATGAAAAAGCTGGAGTCGGGCTGGGAGGCCCTCTTCCTGGGGCTGTGTCCTAATAGGCATTAATTGTCCTTTAGAGCCATCCATCTGGGAGCCACTAATGGTCCTTGTCCATTAGCTGCTGCAGTGGGTGTGCAGCCTCTCCGAGGCTGGGAATGACTCAGGCTTCCAGAGTCCAGGGACCTTTTCAACATGGCCTGGGGCTGCTCAGGGCAGTCTGAGATGAGACGAGGAGGTGGGTCTCATCCGGGCTAGAGGAAGATCCACCCCTGTCCCGCCGCACCTCCCACTCCAGGCTCAGATCACCACTCCCCAAGGCCTCCTTTGAACCCCCTCAGGGTGTCCTATGTCATGCTAAGCAAGCATGCTTAGCTGTCCGTCTCCTCCGTCCTGACATGAAAGGTAGCAGACTGTGGACACTGTAGTCGCGGAACCATAGACGTTGGGGCTCTTCTGACGACATGCGTGGAGAGAGACCTTTCTCCCCTGTGTCTGCAGGCTGCAGCCCAGTGCCAATGTCTCACTAATCCTTCTGGGGAGGAGTGCGTGCGCTAGTTGCAGCTTCTTGCCTGTATAAAGGATGCAGCAATCCCCAGCCTCATGGAAACGTCACTGTGTGTGTGTGTGTGTGTAGTTCAGTGTGAACCAGAAGTGAGGCCATTGGGTCAGATGTCTAGAGATAGTGCCAGGTGTCTTTCCTGGGACCCTGCTCGAGTTTGCTCAGCCTTTGGCCTCAGCTGGTTCATCCCCAGGCCGGGTACCTGTAACCTCTTTGAGACTGTGCCACTTCTTGTGTGATCTGGCAGAGGGGAGAGTGAAGCGCCGGTCCATGTGCACTGCCCGATGCTGGCTTGCTTTCTGAGTCTCCACAAAGGGAGAACTGAGACCCGCCAAGAGGGGTTTCCCTCCTCTGGAAATCTGGGAAACTGGGGACTCAGAACAGAGAGGAGCTGAACAAGGCAGCACATGAGAAGATTCAAGCGGAACAAGCAGCCTTCTGGAAGCTAGCTGGTGCTTCTAGAGCGGGAAGACCAAGGTGTAGCCTCAGGACCAGCATTTCAGGACCGTCTGGGGCACCTCCAACAGCAGGATGGACAAAACCAAAGCCACAGTGTTTTAAACACCCAGGCATTACGGGTAGTTCACAACAGAGGAAGCACAAATGGCCAAGTGTAGGAAGCAGATAAAGGGAAGAGAGGGTATACGGATGAATCCTTTACTCTCATATATTAAGCCTGGAAGGCTGGATATCTGGGGTGGAGAGAGGCCTTCACCCTTGTGATAGGTAGGTTTATTGTGCCAACCTGGCCAATAGGAACACATGGGATCAATAAGGTTGCAGTTTGATTGAAGGGCAAAGAGATAAATGACCCCCTCTCTCTTGCTCTCTGGTGATCGGACCAGCATGCAGCTGCTTTAGCTCGTTCTCTGCCTCAACTTGTGAACTGCGTTACCTATGGGACACCCAACCTGTGAATCGTGTTGCTAGAGCTTGAGGTTCCTTCGAGACCTACTTCGCCGCTGCTGGTGTATACATCACTTGAACTTGAGGTTGGTGGATCCTGTCGTCATTGCTTCAGTTCGATATCTCATCTGGGCCTGCTTCGCTAAGCTCCTATTGCTCCTGTTGCTGAGTGCTGGTGACCCGCCCTACTGTTTGCTGCCTGTGGCCTGACTGCCTGCAGTGCTCTAGTGAAGACTCAGCTGTCTGCTTCCTTGACCTTGGGACCCAGCAACTCTCGTGAGTTGAGGGACTTCCAGTCTATTTACTGTTCCATGGAAGTGAGTTGGACCAAGTCCTCTGTGCTGCTGTGTGGACTAATCAGCTGTTATATTCCTTTGTGTTGTATATGTGTGTGTGTGTCATAAGTGTCCTGGTTTTGTTTCTCCAGGAAGCCTGTCTAACACAACCCTTGTGTGTTGGAGGCAAGTTCCAATCACACTCTCATAACTAATATTGTTCCCCACGATATCCTCCCATAATAGTGGTACCTTAAAGTTACCTCTTACAAGCACATGCCTCGTGGCTATCTAGCCGGCGGCTTTAACTATAGGGGCAGACATAGGTGATTGCTCTCTTGGCTCTGAAGACAGCCACTCCCCCTTACCTGCCCTGGGCACTGGTGTTAGTTATTCCTATGTACTCAGGGACCTTTAGGGTTGGGGTACAGCCCACTTTGTTACACATGTCATTAGGGGGCTTGCACTGAGTGTATCTAAGCCTTGGTTGGAAATATATTCTCTCTCTGCTCGGATCTGGCTTCTGAAGTCATGGTGGTCCAGGAGGTGAGCATTTGCATGCTTTATCTTGTCTGATGTCTCTTTAATTTTATCCCTCAATGACACAAACACCCCTTGGACCCATTCAGTTGTGGGGGCTGGTACCCCACAGCCAAAACACTGTTGGAAAAGAAGAGGTTCACCTTCACTGGTGGTGATGGCTATTGCTAATGAAAAGAAGACAAACTCATTTCCAGAGGGGCAAACCTAGAGACTGATCCTAGGCCCAGCTGATGGGACCGGAGCTACCATAACCTTTAGAGAGGCCAGGGGCCCTGCTGGTGCAGTAGTTATGCCTGGACTGCCATCCTCAAGGTCAGTAGTCAGAGTGGAGGCATAAGGAGGTCCATTTGTTAATGTCTTTATTATTAGAAGATGGGCTCAGCTTCCCCTGGGCGGCAGCGCGGAGGCCACGATGCCTGGAGTCGCTGTCAAGACGGGATCCTGCAGGAGTGCAGTCACAGCTCTGGCACCCTTCCTCAACAAGTCCGGGAAGCTGCAAGTCCCTGACTGGGCAGACCCTGTAAGCGGGCCAAGCACAGAGAGCTTGCTCCCTGTGCTGCACGGGAGCTGCAGCCTCCGCAGCTGTACCTGTACCTTCACGGTGGCGCTGGGGTCGGCTCCGTGACCAAGATCTACGTTGGGTGGCAGAGACACGGTGTCACGCCAGCCACTTCAGTCGGGGCTCCAAGAGCATGGCCCGTGGGTCCTTCAAGCTCTGGAGGGGCTCAAGACGGCGTCCGCAAACTGCCACCTCAGGGTCAGAGAGATCTGGACAGAATCGCCAGACAGGCGGCAGCTGCCGACAAGAAACACTAGAACAAAGGTTGCTGGGTTAATACGTTGCCTCATTTGTGAAAAATGAATAAATAAACAAAAACAAAGGATCGTTTTACACAGCTCTTAAATAACAATCTATACATCAGTTGTATCAAGCATATTTGTACGTCTGTTGTCATCATTATTTTCTAAACACTTATTTTCTGTTGAGCTCTTGGTATCAATTCCTCTTTTGGAGGTCAATTTATTAATGGAGTGTTAGCTTAGGTATGGGTCACCGAACCCATCCTGTTATTATTTCCCCAGTTCCAGAATGCATCATTGGAATAGACATACTTAGTAACTGGCAGAACCCCCATATTGGATCCCTGAAATGTGGAATAAGGGCTATCATGGTAGGAAAGGCCAAGTGGACACCATTAGAACTGCCATTGCCTAGGAAAATAGTAAACCAAAAGCAATACCGCATTCCTGGAGGATTGCAGAGATCAGTGCCACCATCAAAGACTTGAAAGATGCAGGGGTGGTGATTCCTACCACAACCCCATTTAACTCGCCCATTTGGCCAGTAAAGAAGACAGATGGATCCTGGAGAATGACAGTGGATTATCGTAAACTTAACCAGGTGGTAACTCTAAGCCTATGTAAAGGTGTTTGTAGAAGGAGAAAATACAGAGGGATCTTCCCCCAAATGTTGCTAGCACAGATGCATCGAGTTAATTGCTACTAAGTATCTGTTACTTTGTAATTCAAATGACTGAAGTGGGAGAACAAACAACAGCCCTGAGAAAATGAGGTGAATCGGGATGCCCTGAAAGATTACAGGTTCAGACAAGTCAAGGGCTAAGCAAGTTGACTGATCTCTCAGGACCCCAGCAGCACCAGGGCCTTCCAGCCCAGATGGTGGGAAAAGCTGCTTCCCTTCAATGCTCAGGAGGACTCTGGGCGGGTTCTGTACGGATGTAACCAGCATCTGGTTGAGTAGGAAGGCCAAGTCCCTGTGAAGCCGACATGATCACCCCCAGCCAACGACTTTGACTTCTCTGAATCCAAGGTGGCTGCTTCAGTTCCCACCTAGGCCTTTCAGCGACACCTGATTAGCAACATCCATCGCTTCTACTCCCATGTGACCAGCACTGAGCCACATGGTTACAGGGAGCCGCAAAGGAGGCTGAGGAATGAGTCTATAGTTGGGTGGCCATGGCTCAACTAAAAGGATGCCTTTTGTTATTAAAGCAAGCTGGGGAGAAAGTTGTGGAGACCATGAGCATGTTTTGTCACCCAGGCCCCTAGGGACCTGTGTCATTTCTGAGACCAACAGGTACATTGACTTCCAAATTTGCAGTGGAAACTGTAGGCACCCTGGGGGTTGACCACGTGCACCTGGCTCCTTTGTAAAGGACATTCTGCAGAGACCGGTGACTTCATTTGCTTGTGAAAAGATAGTGTTGGCTCTTGAGTAATGGTCAAATTGTTGAGGGAGGAGGTCGGCTCTTCCTCTTCCATCTCAACAGTTTGCCGACCCCTGGTCGGGATGGTTCTGAAAC